TCTAACATGGTTGGATCTCAGCCAATCAGAGAGATGGAAATTATTCAATCATATAATAAATGACAATATACAATATTAAATATCGAAACGATACTGTCAAATGCATCACTCCTTTGAATCTAAAAGGCATAGAGATTAAGGATTCTGTGCCCCTCGGATAATCCTCAGGGATAAAAATCATAAGAGATAGAGTTGACAAAAAGTATTCAAGTACTCAAGATCAAAAGTCTCTAGAGAGACTTTTATTATGCCATATAAGGAGACTTAGCTTTTTTCTTTAACTTTCTAAACAGGGACAGACAGTTTTTTTCAAAAGCAACTATCCGGGTTTTTTGTTTTCTTTACATAGGAAAATGATTGTTATGCCTATTCAGATATGTATAGCCAAAGAGAACATTAAATTCTTCTTAACAAAGAACTATTAATAAAAGTATTTTTTCAATTAAAACATCAAAATATGAAAACAAGATGTGTCAGACTCTATGGTATCTTTAATCTCAAGTTCACAATAAATCAAACCAATTTGTTATCAAAACAAAAAGTCAAACTAATGTCTTTTATTGTAACAAACACGTAGATGAAGCACACATATAAGTATCTTTTTTGTAAAAATGAAAATAAATAGACAGACGAGGCCTTTACATACAATTTATGAAATATGACGTTATTTATGGAACTGAATGGTTCTACATATGTATATGGCATAAAAAATGGCATATAGCAGGTGTTCACAAATATGTGATCGAAATTCATATTTTTGTCTTTACATGTGTCATTATTTTTCGTTTACTTGATGGACAAACCTCGTATTTACACTTCAGGTGATCCATTTCAAATACAGTATAGAGATTAAAGAATATAATCACGTCCTTTATAACAATTATAAGCAAAAACCACTAACTGTATTAAGATAAATGTACTATAACATAACAATCTATAAAATATAAATTATAAAATATAACATTTAGTCAACATTTTAACACAGTTGAAAAAAAATGTCATTTTAAGGGAAAGTACAAGTTAGTATATTAAAAATTTCACAATGAGATGAACAAACATGCTATACATATAATACAGAAATGAATTAAAAGAAATTGTACCTCAAACTCCACATAGAAATTGGACACCTGTGTCAAATACGTGGAATTATTAACGATTTTAAACATGTTGATATAACAGATCGGTTTTATCAATGAACATCTGTTAAATATAACAGAAGGGAATGACTATTCTTTCTATGAAGTTTAACGAGGCCCGATCTAGTTGAAAATTACGAAAACGGAATGATAAAAAATTTTAATTCTTCGAAATATACTTGTATGTTTTATGCTTAGAAAAATTAGAACGAAATTTTGTTACCTTGCCTTTATTGTAGTGAAATGGGGGCACTGTCAAGATATGGACCATTTTTCGTGTTTTTATACACAATTACATACTAAAACTCTTCAATAAACAAAGAAATTTACAAATTAAAAAAAAATACATGACGAAATTCTTTGTTTTTCGCATATATTATGCAATTTTCATTCTTCTTATAAAAAATGAAAAGAAAATGGGAGGTAGCCTTTATTGCAGTGAAAAGGGGGCATGTCAAAACACAAAATTTGGATTTATTTACAACTACGTATTTTGTAGGTCGCAATGGGTTTACATAACACCAACACACGATTGCAATACTGTATTAGTTTCTAAAAAATAAATAATTCTTATATTATGAAATAATTTTCTCGCCATGCTTTATTTTTCTCTTAACACGCGACATTGTTTTACGTTGAAAAAAAGGGGTAGAGGGAGGAGGAGGGGGTAAAGGCGACAAATTGCGATTTTTACTAATATCATGTAATATATAGAAAAATAAAATATTTCGGGGGTTTAATTTAAATGATTTATAGACTTATTTTATTTTTAAAAAAACTGAAGATAATCCATGCATATTTAAGTCCGCAATAAAAAGAGTGTGTATAAACACTTCAACATGTTCGAAGAGAAAGACTAAAATCGTTTACTTTTAGTTGCAGTGTTTGTTTTTTTTTAACTCACAAATTGAAATAAAACAGGATAAAATTAATGAATCTGTACCAAAAAATTGATCCCTCAAAAATAACTAGGTTCCAAAGTTGTTTATTAATTCAAATATTAAAAAAAATAATAGAAATGACAACTCTCAATGCATAGTCTATAAAGCTACCAGGTAAGCAAGATCGGCGAAACATTTTAGCGCAATTTGACGTCATTTTAATTGTGACGTTATTGTGTTCAATTGTGATGGCAGTCAAGGGTATTGTGACGTGCCTGAGTCGACGCTGCGTTAAAACGTATGCGCAGATCAAGTAGATCGGGCCTCGTTAACTTAGCAACTTGCATTTTATCACATTTCCCTTCAGTTTTTTATGTATTCTTTTCCATGTCATTTGTTCAGTATTTCCTTGCACAACTGTATCATTGTAGATGATGGTTTATTATTTCCAAGCTCTTTCAAATACCTCTTCAGGGACATTCTGAGTATCTCTTCCTGCACAATATGAATAAGATATGATATGTACATCTATCAATTTATTTCAAATGATTTTTTTAGGAAACTGATATATATATAATGTAGTAGAGTGCACCGGAACATAGTTTTCCGTCATTCCGGGTTTTAATTTTAGGCATTGTAAAAGAGTTCCCCTCACATGGCAGGCGTTGTCAGATGTTCTTTACTGCCTATTTAGCCACATGTTAGGTAAGTTCTACTTGATGATTTTATATCTTAGTATGTTCTAGACTAAAGTAGTTATGTATATCTTCTGTGTAATTAGCTGTCTTAGTTTACAACGTAGAAATAGGTTGCATAGGTAGTCTTTGTTTACAGTGTCAGTTTGTATTCCCGCCATTATGAATTCTTTTGTTCGGTTGTTACATTATATGTATTAAACTAGTCCAAGATAGGTTTTAATGTTATTTCAGTAATACTCATTTATAATTTTAAATACCTTATTGTGATTGGTAGTTCGATTTTGTTATTTAGCAATTATTGCATGTCCTGTACAATCCGGAATGGTCAATTCTAATGTATAGTCAGACCATGTTAGGCATATCCGGAAAGGCGCAATATTTGGGATCACTTGTCGCCACTCTCTCAAAAGTCATCGTAAGTTATCAATGAGAAATGTTTGTACTTGTGGATTTCTAGTCAAAGGTCTTGCTAGTCATAGTTACATGGATGATGTACTGTGTTTTTATTATTACACATTAATAATATTTTGTTAGGAATCAAAACACTTAGGGCTGTACTATACTTTAACTAACATAACAGTAAGCTGAAGTAGCATATGTATTTATGTAGATTTACTTATACTTATCTTAAGGATATGTAAGTTAAGTCTGTTTATATACCAAATTAATTATAGATCATATGCACCGTAGTACATGTGCCATATATATATATATATATATATATATATATATATATATATATATATATATATATATATATATATATATATATATCCACAATAATAAAATATCTTTGATTGATAATTAGTATCAAATAAACCTACCTCATAAAGTGGTGTCTGAAAAAAAAATAAAACAGATAAATGAGACATAATTTTCATTTGATTTATTTGTTGCAAACATATCTCAAATAAACTAATTGACATTCTTACATCAATTAAATTGTCATTTTGCATCTCTTCGATGTCATCACAGATGGTGTTAAGGATTTCGGAGTATGGAACCATGTCAAAATCTGGAATTAACTCTTGACAAGTACCTTCGTCATGTCGCTGTTCACCAGAGGAAAAATTGCTGGGAAAAATCTCCTGATGTTCCTTTAAAAACCAAAGACAATGTACATATCAAAATAAGTACATGAAATAAATTTCTTTTTAGCGATTTAATAATTCCTTGGTAAATACCTCGAATTCATCAATGGTCAAAGAAATTTGGTCACAGTCTGAGTCGTCAAAACCGCTGTTACTTTGCGCCATGTTTCGATCAGCATTATCTATATCAATCGATAAACTTTGGTTATTAGTTCTTTTCCCTTTATCAACTCCAAAGCTGGTAACGAGTAACGTGTTGTTTTTCTTTGATGTATCCCGAGGTTTCTGTCAACAGATTAAATATTTACTTTATCGAATCACAAAAAGAACAACCAAACAAAACCAAAAAAAAAACTATTTCGTTTTACAGGAGGTATAACCTTTTAATGTATTTTCTGTCAATTAATTCTTAAAGTAGAGTTTAAATCCACGTGTTGTATATCGTATAATCCCTATTAACCGCCCCGGGCGCTTAGAAAATTGCGAAAAGGGGGTGGTTATTTTGGTATTCTCCTTATAAAATTTAATGTCATATTTAAGCTTCGAAAATTATATTGAAAAAAAGTTCAAAGAACTACTAAAATAATTTTTAATTTTACTTTGCGTGAAGATAATCTACCCAAATTATGTTAATTGATTCATATTTCACTGAGAAATTGGATAAAAGACAAGTTTTATTTTATCTTTCTTCAAATTTTGGTAGACTTTTGATACGATTCTAGATGATTTTAATCACTTTAAAGGGGGCCCTTATTACCTTAAAATTGAAAAAAGACCTAGGGGCGCTTATAGGGGCAGGGGCGGTTAATAGGGATTATACGGTATTTTGTATCTAAGATTGTAGAAAGTTAGCTCAAGACAATGGGCAAATGACCACAACGCTCACCTGAATCACTATGGCGGTGTGGTTCTTCACTGGATATGTCCTCTTGTAATCTATACTGTGTTCCATTCGTTCCTCATATGGATCATGCTTTTAAAAATTTAGAATCAACATTAAAGTAGGATGTTCCCATTTAGATTTCAGATACAACGGTCCATTGGTTGTTGGGGAGAAGTTTTTTAAAGATTTTTTCTGATGAATTGTAATATATTTGGATTATCTATTGTGGCCCAAAATTTTCCCGTTAATGTCATGGATTTAACAATTTAGAATCTAAACTACTCCAATATAAGTTTCAGTCCAGTGGTTTAAAAGGGATTTTTTTCTCGATATATTTAATGTAAAATCGGACTCTCAATTGTGAAGCAGCCTTTCTCCATGGAAAACTATTTTTACAACTTATATTTTAATTTGCACAACCCAAGAAAGCTTTCACATTAGTTTAAGCTTTTTCCAGTGCGGAGTTTCTTGTAAAGAAGAATTTTAAATTTTTGGAACACATTTCAGTGTTAAATTTGGGTTCCCTTTTGTGGTCCAATGCTACCCTAGGATCACGATTTCAACAATTTAGAAATAACATTGACAAAGAATGTTTCCACATATATTTTAAAGCTTTTCTGGCCCTGTGGTTCTTAAAAAAGAGATCCCCTCCTATTTTTGTCCTTTCTTTATTAGCTCCCTTAGGAAGGGGATTTGAAATTGGCCCTTGACTTAAACTAATTTAACCTCCCTTTATCGAAGTATGCTTTGTACAGACAGACAGACGGACGGACGAACAACGCGCAATGGGTGATCAGAGAAGCTCACGAGAGCAAATAAAATATAATACATTAATCATCTAACAAAACACAACGAACAATAGTATTGTTCCGCTACCTATCTCCAAGTCAATTTTCAAAAGTTAATATAATCAATGAATTTTTAATATTATTCATATTATATTAATTATATGGATTTTCATAAAGCGTTACTTATTTGGGGAAACAAAGAAAGATAGCTCTAAAATTGTGGTAAAACTTGTTTTCACTATAGAAATAATCGGAAAATCTTTGTTTAACATATCCCCTCCCCATAACACAAAAATTCCTTTTAACAGGTAATACGGACTTTTTTCTCTCACAAATTCATACTAAAGCCCTTTTAGTTATTTACGGGGTATACGATTATTGACAAAACAAACCCGCGAAAAATCAATAGTTATGGGCAAGATTACGGTTTTTGCAGAAAAACAGACAGACATACAAAAAAAGGCCAAAGGTTAAGATGAAGGATACCTAGGTTAAAACCCAGTGTGAATTACAAAAGCCATGATGCCAAGCTACAAATTTGCAAAATATCGAATCCAAACTTTTTACAATTCATGATATATACGATATATAGAACAGACATACAGACGCCGGGTAAAGTAAACCTCTTACTTCTGCTCTGCTTCGCTCTCCACACAAATCTCTTGTTTATGAAATGTTAACTTAGCCTAAATTATGCTTACTATATTTATCGTCTCCATTCTTTTTCTTTTCCTCTGGAAACAAAATAATATTGTTTATTTCAAGCATACGTCTTAAAACATATTTCAACAATGTAAAACAAAATACTAATAAGTTTTCAACAGACTTGGGACTACAGAAAATAAATATTTTTTTTTCTTTCTATTTATTATAAAAGGTACTGATTAATTTTACAGACATCTGAAATGTTCGCAATGATAAAGTTAATTTTTCGGTCTATTCTTTTAAATGAAAATATCTAGCTCGTTCTAGTGATCCTGTAAAAATTATTTGCAAGCACCTGCGAATGATCTGGAACTTCAACACTTTGAATCTCAGTATAATGATCACTTGAACTGCTCAAACCTCCTCCATTTGTCTTACTCTCATGCGTTTTCCAATGTTTTCCATCGTCTCTCTTGGTCTCTAAAACATCTGTTTGGACCTTGAATAATTTTGAGGAACTATTTTCTCTCTTTGCCTCTGCGATAAGCTGTTCTGGTCTGTTTGTTTGATTCTCTTTCGTTTTCCGATCTTTGTCATCGGTTTCCTTGGTCACTGAAACATCTACTTGGACTTTCTAAATGTATTCAAAGAGTGTTTGTATTAAATGTTAAACATTACCTAAATAATATAATGTGAATAAAAACATTAAGATGATTGATTCAATCTTTGTATCATTACTTTAAAAGAAAATTATGCCATTATTAAAGAAAGTTATAAGCAATATTTTACATAAAATTATCAAATAATTCAGATTTATATTCGTTAGACAACAGACACTATCACAACTAGTTGGATTTTCCAAAGCAAATAAAATTATTATCCCTATTTATTTATAATATTTATTTGTTTGAAGATGTATGTTGTTTTATTATGAAGTTCGAATATTCCAAGAGTTTCATTTTTAGCTTTCAAGTAAAAAGCTGACTCAAAATGAATAGAAATCTTGTATTTATCAGTACAGCCTGTATATAATAACATTTACCTTCAAAATGCATTTGCAAATGCTTAATATGTTTCCCGATGGAACATCTACATCCTCAGAGTAACTTTGTAACAATGGAGCCAAATTTTTCTCAAGCATCCAACAATTTAATGCTTTTTTACTTTCTTCAACCTCAAGTTTTTCATTTAGGTTGTTGTAGTGACTCAGCAGAACCTCCCAATCAGATGATAAAGGCACGGGCTTTTGGTTCTTTAAGACATATAACATCTTGTTGAAAACTTTGTCCTCTCCAGATTTAAGGTTGGAGATGTTCCCAAACTTTATTTCTGGTTTGTACTCATCCCATCCAGGTGGGCTTTTGCTGTGTGGTTTCGATGACATTTCTTCACCATAAACTTTGTAGATCAATTCTAGTAACATTGTCTGGGAGAATCTTCGAAATTTGCGTAGAATTTGAGATCTTCCATTTGCAGTAGTGGTTTCATTTGGTCCTGGATTCCGTTCGACATCTCCACACGTCCATAGCACAAGTAACAGCGCTTTGTCCGTCCAAAGTAAAAAATATCGTTTTTTGCACCGAGAGGAAATAAATATCGACAGGAAGTTTGATAACACTACAATTCAAAGAAAAAAAAAACAGTTCAGCATTGACGTATTTAAATAGCAATTTGCAAAATGCCTTTACATATTGTCACTGATTGTATAAATCAATTCCATTTCTTCTTCTTGACTTACATAAAATAACAGTGAGGAACATCACCATTATGTTTTCACGAGCTACAAAAAAAATGAATTCATAGGATGAAGGAGCTTGCAATACAAAATAGGGATCAATTAGAGATATTCAAAGATATGAAGATATGGGTTACAGAATATCCAAAAAAATCTATTCACAATTTATTCATCTTTTGATAACCGATTAAGAACAAACAAAATAAAGAAAATCTAAAAGATTGTCTTCTTTTCCTTCAGCGATTTGTTTTTAAGTTACTCAATTAAACTTGCGTTTGTTCTTCGAATTCATAGTGTTCCCATACCTGTATTACTATGACAGTTTTCATTAGGCAGCAAACAGTGAATTGAATTACACAGGCAAAAGTGGCTCGCATGAACTTCATATGAAATTCGCACGGATATCGTGCGAATTCTTCGCATGAAAAGGAGACGAAAAAGACCACACATGATAATCGCATGAAAATATCATGAGATTTTGACATGAAATTCGCACAAATATCATGCGAATAAAAATTCGGACGAAATTTATATGAATATTTTTGCTACTTTCTTTACAGATCTTCATATGAATTTCGTGCAAATTTCATGTGATATTCATATCAAATCCATGTGATGCACACAGTATATATTTTTCCTAGTATATTGGACTTTCAATTCTTTTAATCCATTTGATGAAAAGTATAAGGAAATTCTAATTCTTAAATCTGTATATGAATTAGTACAACTAATCATCAAGGTTTCACTGTTACTGATATTCAAAAAAAATGCAATAAGTACAATCTTAAAATCTGATCCAGCAAATGAATGAATAAGCTTTATCTATATCTTAATTTGAAACTGCTTAATTTGAACACATGCAGATTTTGAGGAAGCACGACTATGATTATCCAAGTTATTCTTTTGAACAAACAACTGAAGACATTCTGTTTCTTAATCTTCTTTATTGAATGCTTCAATTTTTGACATTCTCTGTTCAAGGGCCACCCATCTGTCTGGAGATAATGTTTCATCTGCAAGAGAAAATAATTGTAATGACTTCTTGGTACCGGTAAATGAAATACAACTGCATTTCAAAAGTCAATATTTCCATAGCGTATTCAAAATATGAACAAATGTATACATGTATATAGCAAACTCTTATCATCCCTATGTTCAATTTAGTATTTATAGGTTGAACATATATTGCCTACACTGTAAATGATCTTGAAAAAATTCAGAATCATACATCATAAATTATAATTAAAAGTATATAATGTTTCTTAGGTATAAAAAATAAACAAAAAAATGAAAACAATTTTCCTGCAAATGACTTTAAACAAAATAACCTTGTGTCAGGTTTCAAACAAACCTTGAAACAATGTTGTCTCTGTTTCATTGACCCAGATCTGATGATGCAATTTGTAACTATTGCAAGGGAATTTAAAATAAAAATTTACCTACCATTGCATCTATGTTCCTCCTGAAGGCACGCAAGAAATCTATGGCTGTGATAAGTGTGGTAACTGGATTTTTTCTGAACAATTTGTGTCTATCAGCTACAGTTCTCTGTAAAGCAAAGAACAAAAATAAATCTAAAAATATGGTCATGACTGGTCATGAATTTAATTAATATCTCAATTATTTTTCTTATTATGAAATTAGATAACAAGATCAACTTTTTAAAGCAATATTAATAAGTTTGAAACTTTGTAATTATTTAAACAGTCATGAAAAAATAATTATGCACTAATTTTGCCTCTGTTATCAAAGATTCGTCGGTTTATATTGTTTTTGCACTGTATGTCCATCTTTTTGTCTTCCGGTATTTGTCTGCTAAAACTTACTTATGAGTGGGTGGAACTATATATGTGGCTTCATATTCCACAGATGTATTTCTTGTGACAAGAACTCTTTTTGGGGGTACTATAAAATTTGACCTCTTTACCTTGATATTAAGGTTTGAGCCACTTTTACAAAAAAAAAATCCATAATTAAACTTTAAACTAGCTAAGCTATAATTTTGAACATCTAGAGCTATAATCAATCTGATACTTCACATTATTTTGTAATCATTGTGACAAGACCCTTCAATGAGTTTTTTTTAACATTTGGTCTTGACCTAAGAGTTTGACCCACATTTAAAATCTATAATTTAAGCCATAACTTTTTAACAGTTAATACTAAATGTCTCACATTTCACAAGATTATTCCATATGACTAAACCTTCCTTTAAATGCTAACAATTTTGACCTTTTGACATTGACCTTTGAGTTTGCCTTGCATTTCAGAAACTTCAGTCCTTGCTTTAAGCTGGCATATAGGCATATTTTAAAGCATAAACAACTGAACATAGGATAAAACAAGAGGCCCAGGGGCCACAGCGCTCACTTGAGAACATCGGCTAGGAAAAAGCACATATCAGATCAGAACTGAAAGTTTATGAGGTGGGGGTAGGGCTTGAAATATACCCCCACCCCACCCAGGGGTTCATGTTTAAACAAACTAGAATCTACACTACCTGAGGATGATTCCATATAAATATCACTAATCATGGCTCTGAAATACTTGAAAGGAAGATTTTAAAAGGTATCCCTATATAACCCAATGTAAAACTTGGGTTGGCCATTTTGGCCCCATCCTAGTCCCAGGGGTTATGATTTGAACAAACTTGAATCTATACAACCTGAGGATGATTCCACATGAGATTCATCTTTCCTGGCCCTGTGGTTCTTGAGAAGATTTTTTTAAAATGCCATTAATTTTTCATTAATTCATAATTATGTCCACTTGGAAGAGGGCGTGGCCCTTCATTTTAACAAACTTGAATCCCTTTTACCAAAGGATACACAAGGAAAATGGTCTAGTGATTCTTGAGAAGAAGATAAAAATGTGAAAATTTTACGACACGCCTATGGAAACTACACCAACAGAAACTTATGATCAGAGAAGCTAGCTTACTTGAGTCTTTGGCTCAGGTGAGCTAAAAAAGTGTCCCAACAAGATGTGTTTGTGAAACACTATGCCCCTGGTGGCAACAAAGTTCTAAAAAGCAATTTTTGGCAAATACGTCTTGGTCAAATTCACACAATCATTGTCCTTATTGTTAGTTGAAAGTGCTTAATTAGTGGAGTAAGCATACCAAATATGAAGTCTCTATCTCGTAGTTGAAAAGTTAGGGCGAAAATTTGAAAAAAGCTATTTTTACCATATAGGTCATAGTCAAGGTCACAAGGTCATTGACCTTGGTGTCAGCTGAAAGTGCTTAATTAGTGAAGTATGCGTACCAAACATGAAGTCTCTATCTCTAGCTCACGGTTCAAAAGTTATGGCGAAGGTTAAAGTCGACAACAGACAGACAAACAGATAAACAGACAAACAGATAGACAGGACAAAAACAATATGCTTCCCGAATAAATTCGGGCGCATAAAAAAAATGATAAAATACTTACATGTACTTTTGAAAAATCTGGATGATTAAGGAGTTAGACTACTGTGGTACTTAATTCTGATCCTTGTGATAATAATAATAATAATAATAATAATAATAATGCTTTATTTAAAGAAGGTAACCCGATTAGTACAAAGTACTATTCTTCCCCGGGGCCTTCTACATTTCAAACAATATACATAAAATGGTACAATCAAACATATATACAATGTACATGAAAATGATAAGCTCAGTCTATAACTTCATAATCGAATGTAGTATACAAATTAATGAAAATATAAGACAATAAATAAGTCAATATACAAAGTTTAAAAGACATAGGTAATATCAATAAAAAGGACATCTATTATAATAAAATTACAGACGTTGGCTAATTATAACTTTTTCCAAATTCTTTCTAAAAACAGGTAAAGATGGCGATAATTTAACATGTAACGGTAGACTATTCCATAAATGTACACCAGAATATTGTAAAGAGTTTGTAAATAAGATTGTTCGATGCTTTGGTAATCGAAGATTATAATTAAATTCTGAACGCAATGTGTATGATTCAGAACTGTGAAAAATAAAAAGATTCTGGATATATTCTGGGCTCATACCATAAAAAGTTTTATATAATAAAATACATTTATGAAACGTAACTAACTCAAAAACATTTAACCATCCTAGTTTTTCAAACAAAGGCTTAGATGGTTGGTCAGGTGCTGCATCAAGAATAATTCTAGCAGCCCGTTTCTGAAGCTTATGAATTCTCTCAATGTTACATTTGGACGTATTACCCCAGACTGTGAGACAATAGTTTATTGTAGGCAAGATGTATGCATTATAGAAAAGTTTTCTTGTACTTAATGGAAGAAATTTCTTAATTTTACGGAGCGTAAATAATTTGTATCTCAGGGATTTACAAACTGCATCAACATGACAATTATACTGAAGAGATTGATCTATCTGAATACCTAGGAGTTTTTCAACTTCAACATTTTCCAAGTTTTTGCTAGAAATTTTTGCATCAAGTACTGGGTTATTTAATCTTGATCTTTTTTGTTGTGTACACATAAGCATGCATTTTGATTTGTCTGTGTTCAGTATCATTTGATTCTGTAAACACCAGTTTTCAATTTCACGTAAATCAGAATTTAAATGTGTTTCAATATTATGTACATTGCTGTTAGGTAAATGCAGAGTTGCATCGTCCGCAAACATATCAATATTAGAGTAATTTACACATAAAGGAAGATCATTTATATACAATAAAAATAGGAGTGGGCCTAAAATGGATCCCTGTGGCACCCCTGCTGTGATAGGTAAAATATCGGAAGAACATGCGCCAATTTTTACACTTTGCTTCCTTTCGTTTAAATATGATTGGAACCACTTGATTGTTAGTGAATCAAAATTATAATGTCGTAATTTCTCTATTAAGATATCATGACTGACTAAATCAAACGCTTTACTAAAATCTAGAAAAGCTATGCCAATTAAATTTCCTTGGTCCATTTCATGCAACCAGTTATCGGTAAGTTTGGTTAGTGCTGTTTGGCAAGAGTGGAATTCCCTAAAACCAGACTGTGAGCTCATAATGAGGTCAAAAGTTCTCGTAAATTCACGTACTTGATTAGCAATATGCTTTTCAAAAATTTTTGACAAAGTTGGTAGGATAGATATTGGACGGTAATTACTGGGATCACTTTTATCGCCTTTCTTATATATGGGGGTGACTTTAGCATGTTTCAGCTGGGAAGGGAAGATGCCATTAGTAATGCTAGTATTAATGAGATGAGTTATGGGTATAGAAATTACATTTGCAGAAAGTTTTAAGAGACAAGGACCAATGAAATCTACACCTGCTGATTTATTAATGTCAAGTGAGTGTAGCATAGTTAAGACATCGTCCTGGCTTATAGGAAGTAAGCTAAACACGTTTTCATCATTGAGTTTGGACTTCGTGAATTCTTTTAATTTTTGAGAATTAAAGCTATGATTTTGTGTTTTAGTTAATAAATTGTCAGAAATTCTTGTGAAATGCTCATTAAAAACATTTACGATTAGTTGTAAATCATCAATTTCTGATTCATTGTCTTTAATAAGAGTGGGAGAAATATTTTTTGACTTGGAAGCTAAATGATTAAGATAGCTCCACATTTCTCTAGGATTAGAGCTCTCCTCAATTGCTGATTTGTAGTACATACATTTTGCATTATTAATCAACAGAGTAACTTTATTTCTCCAATGACGAAAATTATCAAAGTCTTTATGTTGATGATAGTAATCTCGTAACTGTCTAGCTTCATTAATTTCTGGTGTGAACCATTTCGGACGAGACTCGGTTTTTACACGTTTAGTTTTTACCGTAGCATGTTTATTGAGAATGGTATTAAACATGCTGTAGAAGTTTTCTAATATATCATTAGGATTTTGCAAATTTGTAAGAACATTAAAATTGGCACTTTGTAAATCAGAGAGAAATTCTTCCTCATTAAAATTCTTAAAATCTCTGTATTGAATTTCAGTGTGTTTTCCCTTACGTTGCATGCTGTTAGATTTACGGGTTGCACAAACAGGGTAATGGTCAGAGATAGCTATGGGTGGTACTTGAATTTCGCAGATGTTATCAGGTTGGGTAGTGTAAAAATGATGACAAGTAACTGTGCCTACAGAGAACCTCAAAAATGTCAGATAATGTAGGGTCAATAACAATGAGTTCATTACCCCTTTGTCACTTTATTTAAAACATGTAACCTATAAATTAACGAAGATTATATTTACATTAAAGAAATGCAAGATAAGAAAAAATAAGCTGTATGGTTAAGGTTTTGCTACATGTATACATGTAATAACAATATCCTTTTTATAAAACAATGAATACTGTAGACCAACTATTATTCGTGTGCGATAAACTTTCTCGAACTTCGCGAGAGCCTTATCGCGAATATTTCTCCACACGAACCAGTCCTAGTAAAAGTATATTTGTCTATGAAAAACAGATGCATAAAGGCTTTAATTATCGCGACAATTAGAGGTCGCAAAATAGTTTATCCCTGGTAAATCGTAAAGTTGCAGTGAATAAAAGATGGTTTAAAGCACCTCAGGCCCTGCAACAAATATTAAATTTCTCTCTTAGATTTTTTTTTACCTTTTTACATAATGTATCATATCTATAATCTTTGAGAAGCCATCAGTGTGGTATAATGGAATGCCACGCAAATACCTGCAAGCATAGAATACAACATTATTTAATAAATATTTTTGAAACTAATATATATTTTTTAAATATGTATAGTACAACTCATTTTTGGAAATTTTAGTCTTGCATTCTAGATGTAATTAAATAACCCCCTTTAAATCTGCATATATTTTGGAATTCACACAGGTTCTTGTGGACAGGATAGTGTGGTATTTTTTTTTTGTTGAAGGGTTGAAAGAATTTTCAAAGGGTGAGGGGGGTGTTTAGGTTCCATGTTCTTTCGCCCTAAAAAAATTGTTCGCCCGATTTCCCGTTCGCCCGATTTCTCATTCACTCAGAGTCCGCTTGCCCTAAAATTTCTTCGCACAGGGTCTGTTCGCCGTAATTGAATGTAGATATTGGGCTAAAAATATTTCGGGTGAATGGACTCTGTGTGAACGGACTCCTGGGAACAGGTAGATCGAGCAAACAAACCCATTAACGCGGGATTTGAAGAAGAAAAATTATTTCACATGTACATGTAGTTAATTAATAACTCAATAGGATACCGGGTGGAGCGTGGTTTTTAAAGTAGGAGGTTCATAAACCTGGGGAAAAGTATTTGTACCAGAAAAGTTTTTTGAAAAAGAAAGGAAAATATATCTCAGAACTGAGAATCTTATTTAAATTGTTAAAATGGGGGGGGGGGCATTTTATATTTGAGGACCCACATTTTTTTATACATTACAACTTTAGCTTTTCACTCAACATTTTCTATGGTACCGTAAAAACACAAACAAAAATTTTGAATTTTCTACATAACGTATTCCTTTTTTTGCAAAGCCAAAGGGAGGGTTGCAACCCCCTTAGAATAATCTAACTGTGTCTTGGGACAAGCCCTCAGTGACCGGTTCTGTAGGACATTTATCATTATAACGATAGAACATTCTATCTACAACCCTGCTACCCCCCCCCCCCCCTGGATTAGCCACTATATGTGTTATTTGCTTGCTGCAGTTTATATATTAGATTTAGGTGCAACAGGATCTAAAAACAAACCAAAACATTAGGCCTACCCTAGTTCACTCGGCCTTTTCTATAATATTGTAAGAAAAGGCTTTTAAGCAGAGAACCTGTACCACAGGGGCTTGTGTAGAAAAAATATATCAGTTAAAAAAATGAGTACTTAAGAGAAAAAACACGTTTTTTCTCCTAGCAGGGACCTATATACTAACACATGTAGGTCCCTGCTCCTAGGTACTAATTTTTTAAACTGATTTATTTTCTCTACACAAGCCATTGTGCCTGTACCAGGCCCATCTTTCAGTTTCAACACATACCATAGATATAATGTTAGATTTACTTGAATCTGTTATTATTAAGCTGTCAACAAATATTCCCAAATAAAGTTATTACATATATCTGATATAAAAAGAAGTTGAAAATCTTACAAACTTACAGAAAACATTCTGTTCTGCTCTTTCTAGTCTGTTTCTAATCCGCATGATGACGTAATTTGTGACGTATGGCCTTCCATAAAAACTAGCTTTGGTTCCATAAAGTAAATTATCATATATCACTTAGTCATCAGCGTTCGTCTTCGAAGCGGAGAAACATTTTCAAGATAAAGATTTGAATGACGAAAATTATGAAAATTAAGGTATTTCCCGAATCATTGATGAATACGAAACTGAATAGCCAGGTTCCATTTGCACTTCCTGTTACAGAAAAAAAAACCCGGGTCAGCGAGAGCTCCTTTCTATCGTTTGTTACAGACTTTCCCTTTGGCTGATTGTGATCTAATTCCTTAAAACAATGGTAAATATATATGCTTTGTTAAATGTTTATCATATTTTGTGGTTTTAATGCACATTTTTATTGAATATTCAACTTGCAACGAAATATTTCAGAGTAAATTCGGATTTCTTTCTCATTTTTTCAGGTTCTGCGTAACGCAGCCAGGTGAATCGAATGGTCTTTTTATGCTTAGTGACATTTATTTGAAGGTTTACTAAATTTTTGGTAAGTAATTAAAAGTTATTTTTATTTTAACTAACTGTCATTACAAGTCTCTACACATGTGTCACAACAAAATACACAGACTGTGTTTTGTTCTGACACATATGTAGAGACTTGTAACCACAGCTTCAATAGACCAAGTGTATCCTACAAAATAATTTAGACATAGGATGATAGGTCCAACAAAAGGCTCCATCTTCTAGGGGATTAATTTGAGGTCCATTCAAAAAATGTAACTATTGTATTTGATTTATTCACAATTGAGGTACTATTCTAACTATTCTATCCAGATTAAGAAATCAATCTTTTTCAGTATAATTGCACTGTTGTAAGTAATGTATTAAAAATTCATCAATGACATATTTATTGTCAACCAATAGGAATATCACAATTAAAATGAAACATTTTATCTCATTTGGTCCAATAGCAGCCTGCTATCAGGATATATAGAGTAGGTCAATAAGACACTGTATGTGTTGAATATAAAATACATGGTTACTGTCTTGAAATATAAGCGATATTTGGGCGAGGTTAAGGAACCATGATAGAGGGCGAGGCATACGTTTTCGACCCGAGCCCAAATATTGCTTATATTTCAAGACAGTTATCATGTATTTCGTTTATCCTGCAACAAAATTCTGCATTTGAAAGTTCAAAACAAGCCATTTTCGACAGATTTAGGTACATCTCTGCAGTGGCAACTATTACGCCATGGCGTAAATATTGTAGTATACATGACCAGTCCAGTCCAATACGAAAAATCGTAATATTACAAAATATCGTAATGTTATTCTTATATTACTATTTTTCGTATTATAGTTAAATTACGGAAACTCGTAATATAACAAGTTGAGAGAGACTATATTACCAGTTTTCGTAATGCAAGACAAAATAAAGCATTGAAAGAAACTGAATGATGTTTATGGAAGTATGACGTCTGATATACATTGTGCCACAATGGTACTAGTATCACGTGGTCATTTTGGTCAGTGACGTCTATCAAAAAGTATGGAAATGCCAAAAGAAAGTAACAATGGTAATGGGAGAGTGAACATTTTGTTTTATTATTCTTATATGTAATGTATGTGACCCCCCCCCCCTTTTAATTTTTATATAATGTAGTTAGGGTATACGACATTCATTATTTAATCCACAATATAGTGTTTATTCATGCTGATTCAATGACTGTAATATTTTACTGTAATTGTGTGAGCTTGGAGCGGGTTGATTTTTCTATCAAATAGAGTCAATGACTGTAATATGTCTTCATGCTTTATGGTAATTTGGAGCGGGTTGATGAAGCTTGTTTATTCACACAGTTTTATTCTGAGTCAATGACTGTAATATTTTACTGTAATTGTGTGAGCTTGGAGCGGGTTGATTTTTCTATCAAATAGAGTCAATGACTGTAATATATTTTCATGCTTTATGGTAATTTGGAGCGGGTTGATGAAGCTTGTTTATTCACACAGTTTTATTCTGAGTCAATGTCTGTAATATTTTACTGTAATTGTGTGAGCTTGGAGCGGGTTGATTTTTCTATCAAATAGAGTCAATGACTGTAATATGTTTTCATGCTTTATAGTGATTTAGAACAGGTTGATGAAGTTTGTATATTAAAGAAGTTTTATTTTGTTTTTCTATGAATGTGCTGTTCGCAAAGTTGTACTTAAGTAATGTAATTGTATTTCTAAATACTTTGAATCAAGAGTAAATTGTAGTATCATAGCATGTTGGTAATGTAAACATGACAGAGATAATTCGAACTGAATTAGAGTTTGACAGGAGATTTGTAAAGTGAGCCGTTTGTAAATTATTACTTGCGTATATATTGCAAGACTATAACTGTTTGTAAAAGTATGTGATTGTTGTTTGTTTAGTGTTACTTAATTAATTTGATACCTGTAAACAGTCTAAACTTCTTTTGACACATGTTTGACAGTTTTGGAACTCTTCTGTATGATGTACTTCCGGTTTAGAAACTGATCTAATTGATAAATTGTTCTCCTATTGGTTGTATAGTCGATAAATGTATTGAGTATAAATGGCGCTATCTTACGAATGAATGTATTTTGAGATGAACTGAATATTGTTTTGAATTTAATATGTTTTGTTTTAATTATTTGTTGTGAAATATATTTTGTTTTAATTGATAATAAGTGAGAAAGAATGATTTTACATTTTGTATAGAATGTTTGGTAACACTTGTTCACGTGAAAGGTCGTGATGTTTTACTATTGACCAATCAGATTGTTCGATATAATTGATCATTAGTTATTAATCCAATGAAATATCATAATTAATAATTCCGTCTTTTTCCAGCATTTTCCGTCTTTTTCAGTCATTTTCTGTCCTTCAGTAGTATAAAAGTTAGACGCTGAGGAATTTTAGTCACTCTTCTGCTTATTTTGATTTGGTAGGTCCGTTTTACGGAGCTTGTAGATTTTTGTTAGGATTTTATTTTAACTTTTATTTTTGTCTATCTTTTATTTTATTTAGGAATTTATTTTATTTTTCATTTATTTAGTTAGGATAGGATTTAACCGTGAAGGACATTAAATAGTAAAATACTATTGTCCGTGATCGGTAATTTTAAGAACTTAACAGTCATAGACTGAGTAGTTCTTTTCAGTAATTAATTTTTCTAGGATTATTTTATTTTACAATTTTACTCTACATTTATTTAATTTTTATTTTACGGCAAACTATGTAACAAAAGTTATACGTCTCTCTCTCTCTCTCTTTATGATGACTAAAGTTGATTAATTCAACGAAAGTCAATTTTTATTTTGTTTAGATTCAGTAATTTAATCTTTCTAGATATGTAATTTTATCTTTAGAATTTTTCATAGAATTTTTCATTAGAGAATTTCAGAATTTATTTTTTACTTTACTTGAAACTTAATAAAGATTATTGCATTTAATAACATCTATGGCCCGTAGTATTTACAAGCTAAACCTGTTAATACAGTAAAGCTTGCTTTTAGGTTTAACAAGTCAAAGTTATAAATAACTACGGCTTGTGTCCCGTTTTAATAAAGAGTTTAGGAGATTAACAAGCTAACCTGTTACATACAGTAAAGCTTGTGTTAAGTTTTACAAGTCAAAGTTATAAATAACTACGACTTGATTTCATTATTAGACATTGGGAAATAGACACGATAGATTTTTGGGTGGTTTTTCAGTCTGTTTTACGCTATGATTTTTTCTTATTTATTTAATAAAACTTTATTTATTGTTGTTAATTTGGTATGAATGTGGTGTGAATGTCGTCGTTTGAAATAAATTGTTTGTTGATAATGCATTTAATAAATTCAATTGTTTAATGTTTATAATTTTATGTCTTCTTTGCGAATGGTACATTTATGAAGGAAGTTGAGTTAAATTATTTATACCATATACAGTTAGCAGAATCGCTAGCGTTACATTATATAAGAATTTTCCCAAGGATAGAATGAATTTTCCATAAAATTTCAATGTATCCTCAAGCTTGTCACAGTGGTCTATAATCCCCGAATTCAGTATATCTTTCCGTAAGTCTACCCTGAAAATCAGACCCTCAAACAACGAGATTTTACGAGAGATAACTTGCAAGACTCTCACTAGGCTCTGAATCCGCTTGCACTTGGATCAAATGCACCAAAACAAGGAAAATCCACTAACCATACATATCCACGATATCTTAATGATGAAACCAGATACAAATAATCCCTGATGAGACATAAAAAAGGTGTGTATCAGAAAAAGGGAAGTAACTCTTAGAAGAGTTAGAAATTGCTTAAATTACGAATTTTAGTAATATTACGATTTTTCGTATTGGACTGGACTGATGACCTCACAATGCTTTTAGAACGTCAGAATACATACACGAGGCTTTATCAAGGCAGTGAGCGGATAAAGCTTTGGTTTATTAGGTTACCTTTTTTAGTTCAATGCAAGGAGTAGTTGCTGGATAAAGTCTATTATGCAGTTATGAATGTGCTTAACACATGGTCTTTTGTTTCGCTCTAAACAGTACCATTTTGCATACTCAGTAATACAAGTTGCCAAAACATGGGCTTTTCAAGTGATATAATAGAATTTATTGTATTTAATGTCATCCTAATTAGGAATCAATTAGTCCCTTTGACCTAAACAATCGCAATATTAGTATGGGTAATAGCATTTTATGATAATTAAAATTTCTTTGTAGGAAACTCTTCTCAGGATAAAAGACTGAAAAACTGCCTGTAAACACAGCTATCATTAAAGGCAATGAATAACCTAAGAACATCCAAACAATATGATATCAGAGACTAGCAATTTTTATCACTCAATGTGGCAGAAAAACCTAAATAAATATTGAAATGTTCAATTTCTTTTTTCATTGCTTTTTTTTCTCTTGTATATGAATATTAAATGATATTTATGCAAATTTCGCATGATTTTTACATGAAAAACTGATAATTTGGAATTTGCATGAATATCATGCGAAATTTCACTCACATGAAAATCGCATTAATTTCACATAAATATTGTATGAGGACATTCCCATGAAATTCGCATGTGGAACTTTTCGCATGGTTTTTATGTGATTTTCGTACGAAATTCATGCGAAAAGCCATTCGCATGAAAATCATGCGAGCCACTTTTCCCTGTGTAAACATTTTCAGTTAGAAATCTTAGTAAACGATGGATATAGAACACATTACAAAAAAAGATACATTTACAATAACAGAAGTTTCAACCCTTAGCAAAACTATAGCCTCACTGGTTTTCTTTAGCAAAAAGAAATAAAGGTAGCACTTAAAATTAAAAGAATGGCAACAGCAATAACTAGAATAATGATTCTTGATTGTACCTCTCTAAATCAAGTTTGATAATACTAGAAATTTGACAAAAATAGAGTAGATATGACATTTTGAAGAATTTTTATACATTTATGAAAATAATAATTATCATGGAAACACAAAATCAACAAAATCAAAACCTTATATACAGAATAATGTTTAATGTAGTCTACTTGTACACCAACTTAAATTGAAATCGAAAAAAAACAGTATAAAGGAAAACCATTTTGATTGATCTATGCCTAACAGTTTTATACAAATCCTTACTTCGCGATTCTTGAGCAGACACTCCAAACTGCGCCTTGCGTGTGACTGTAATAGTTTGAAAGAATTTTGAAAAGAATTTCACAAACTTTAATATAGAAACGATGAAAAATGGCAAACAAAAACATTATCCGATATAAAAATGATTTTTCTTTGTGTAGCTTTCTACCAAGATAAATTGAAATCAGACCAAAACTGTAGTAACTTTCAAAGACATTTCTGTTTTTAGTTACCAGAGCAACATCATTCATTGATATAAAAACAAAGATGCATAGCATCATGTATCTTGGTGTAGAATGAGTAACATTTTGAAAAAAAATACCTAAAGACAAATATACAGATTGAAACAAGTGCAGACAAACGACGAACAGCTTAATATCGCATAAACTTTCTAAAGGGGGAGGGGACGTACTCTACATTAATTGATTATAATTAAATTAATTTTGTAAATTGATAAAACAATATACAATGTCTTTAAATGTCAAATACTTCTTTTTCATATAGTTTTAAAAAAAATCAAATTCAAAATAACAAGACAAATAATAGTTTTATTTCTATTGTCTACATGTTACTACTGTTATCATAATTGTGAGACGTAAAAATATCATCCACTGAAAAGCTTTTTTCTGTTCAATCATTCACATGAACACAAAACACCTTTACTTGTGTAAACAAACAAGCTTACCTAATGCCTCTTCATTTTCTTCCTCTCCAAGTAATTCCTTCATGTTAATCTTAAACCAAAAACAACTGTGTCAAATATTTTCAAATTCACATTAGTATATAAAAGTTTTTTGTTTAATTTTATATAGTTTTTAAACAACTTAAATGGTATTAACTTTGAATCTTTTTCTCATGAAAGACAAACAAAAAAAAAAAAGATAATTATATCAAAACCTCATAACAGAATCCTATTTAAATAAAAAGGTACAAATGTAATCTTTAAATAAATTCTAAGTTAGTCATTCTATTTCTAAACACAAGGAAAATTAAAAAGAGTAAAAAAAAATAAATAGCTTTTCCATATCTAATATCAGAATTGTTTTCAAAAAATGTATACAATATTTTTCCGATTTGCTACGGTTCAGAATATACGTACAGAAAGACCTTTTTCTTTTTCCAGGATATCACAGGATACCTTCATGAATAAAATTAAAACATTCAGCATGTTTAAAACAGACTTTACTTTAATAACATGTTTCAATTTCATCAGAAATGAATAATGTACAGTTCAAATATTCAATGAAAATGGACGACCTTCTCAGATTGAAAATAAAACTTTAAATAGCATCATGAAATATAAATTACTTCATACTTACATGCTACTACTATTATTACTTTTTTTTTCCGAGCTTACTTAGGTAACTTTACACCTAGCTATGTAGTGTTATGTTTTTTGTTTAATATTATATTGTTTTTACACAACTTAAATGGTAATAACTTTGAATCTTTTTCTTATGAAAGACAAACAAAGAAATGATAATTATATCAAAACCTCATAACAGAATCCGATGTAAATAAAAAGGTACAAATGTAGGATTTAAATAAGTTCTAAGTAAGTCATTCTATTTCTAAACACAAGGAAAATTAAAAAGAGTAAAAAAAAAATAAATAGCTTTTCCATATCTAATATCAGAATTGTTTTCAAAAAATGTATACAATATTTTTCCGATTTGCTACGGTTCAGAATATACGTACAGAAAGACCTTTTTCTTTTTCCAGGATATCACAGGATACCTTCATGAATAAAATTAAAACATTCAGCATGTTTAAAAACAGACTTTACTTTAATAACATGTTTCAATTTCCTCAGAAATGAATAATGTACAGTTCAAATATTCACGAAAATGGACGACCTTCTCAGATTGAAAATAAAACTTTAAATAGCATCATGAAATATAAATTACTTCATACTTACATGCTACTACTATTATTACTTTTTTTCCGAGCTTACTTAGGTAACTTTACACCTAGCTATGTAGTGTTATGTTTTTTGTTTAATATTATATTGTTTTTACACAACTTAAATGGTAATAACTTTGAATCTTTGTCTTATGAAAGACAAACAAAGAAATGATAATTATATCAAAACCTCATAACAGAATCCGATGTAAATAAAAAGGTACAAATGAAGGCTTTAAATAAATTCTAAGTAAGTCATTCTATTTCTAAACACAAGGAAAAGTAAAAAGAGTAAAAAAAAAAATAAATAGCTTTTCCTTATCTAATATCAGAATTGTTTTCAAAAAATGTATACAATATTTTCCGATTTGCTACGGTTCAGAATATACGTACAGAAAGACCTTTTTCTTTTTCCAGGATATCACAGGATACCTTCATGAATAAAATTAAAACATTCAGCATGTTTAAAAACTGACTTTACTTGAATAACATGTTTCAATTTCCTCAGAAATGAATAATGTACAGTTCAAATATACACGAAAATGGACATCCTTCTACGATTGAAAATAAAACTTTAGATAGCATCATGAAATATAAATTACTTCATACTTACATGTTACTACTAGTATTACTTTTTTTCCCGAGATTTGCAACCATATTAGCTTTGTTTCTTAACATGTGACTTTTAAAGATAAGAATACCAAGAAGGATATGGAAATAACGAACAGTTTTCAATCTCAATGTCCATCAAACAAATATACTAAATAAGAGCAGAGCAAACACGGACCTCCGAAACATCAGAGGTGGGATCAGGTGCCATGGAGGAGTGAGCATCCCCTGCCGACCGGTCACACCCGCCGTGTGCTCGTTGTCATAATCAGGAAATAACGGAAAAAATCCGTGGTAAATTCAGTGTATAAATAATGGACTAACAATTGGTATGAAAAACGTCAGTCAGCATTTCATTCAATGTCAGCATTTCATTCAGTTTGACTGCTTGATGTCCAGGAGTAAAGAAGAAGATTTTTTTAAGATTGCATTAATTTTAGTGGTTTTGGCCCCACCCCTCAGGCCCCAGGGGGCAGGGATTATGAAATTCACAATTTTTGTTCCCCTTCACCCGTAGATGCTTTGTGCCTAATTTGGTTGAAATTGGTTCAGTTGTTGCAGAGAAGAAGCTGAAAATGTTCAAAAGTTTACGAACGACGTACGACGAACGACGACGGACGAAAACAGATAGCAATAGGTCACCTGCATTTACTCAGGTGACCTTAAAAGAAGTTTGAAGAACAAGAGAGTGTAACAGATGAACGAAAGGTTGGACAGAAGGAAATAATTTTCAGAAATATACCCGAACTATAAAATAATTCGTAAACGATGCTAGCTAGTCGTATAGAAAAAATACGCAACACTATTAAGGCTTAATAAAGAGAAGATTGATTGATTTATGTTACATTGTAGGATTTTTTACTCATATATATAGACCTCACTATATACCAATGAAGGCCTTTGAATGTTTACCTTTACTCGGCAGTTAAGTCATAAAGCAGTGAGGGATCTTTATCGTGCAAACGTCTTTCTTGACACAGGGCCTCAGTTCTTATCTGAAGGACTCGCAATTTTCTATTTAAAGTACCGAGCGCAAAGCTTATGAACAGTTGCTACCAATTGTTTATCGACTTATGTCAGTCGCAGCCGAGATTCGAACTCAGGACCTCCCGATCACATAGTTGAGCGTTCTATCGAGGTCATAAAGGGGAGAATTAAGACTTTCATGACAGGTAAGGAGAGAATTCTCATTCTCTATGGTACATGTACATCATCCCACCTCTGATTTTTTGGAAGGCAGTGTTTGCTCATACTTATTGTTAGTCCATTATTTATACACTGAATCGACGACGGATGACAAGGAGCACACGGCGGCTGTGACCGGTCGGCAGGGGATGCTCACTCCTCCATGGCACCTGTCATACCTATACCTCTAATGATTTGGTGGTTCGCGTATTTCTGCCCCTATTTTGTATTGCTTTTTGGACTTCTGTTCTTCAATACTGTTCGTTATCTTCATACGCAAGTGAGCTAAGAATGGCTAAACATATTGAGACTTCAATGGAATTGAGCTAATAAAAAAGGCATATTTTGTATATTTTATTTTAAAAGAAAGTTAATTGATTTCCCTATTCATACTTAGTTCCAACAGCATATTGTAGCTAGGATACATTATGACGTCATATAATGACAAAACTGTTCCTTCCTATTCAAGAAAATAAAACACACCAACAAAACAACATCGGCGCAAGGGCATATCTTATTTAATTTAAAGATACGGATAATTAAAAGAATACTGATAATATTCTCAAGCTTAAATAAAATGCTGCACAAATTCTAGTCACTTTCTCAAATGATAAAAAATCTTTGAAACTTACACTTGATTGTGAATTTTACCCTGCTTTAATTTAAACTCTACGTATTATAAAAAATCAATTGCACTGTCTACATTTGTGTAGCAATATCTGAAATCCCTGGAATATTATGCGTCTATTTTACCATGTTTCTTTAAAACAAAGTAAGGTGTGCCCTTGCGCCGAAGCAATTTTGTTGATGTTTCTTATTTATATGTGTACTCAGGATTGATGACATCATAAAATGACGTTACGTTGTGAACAGGCTATCGCATATCGTGGGTACCAAGAATATTTAAGAAATAAGTCTTAACTTTTTTCTGCTTGGTATTATAGCCAGTATTGGTTTTACTAAGATTTAATGCATAGAAACAAACGTAGCCTTAACTCAATTGTGTTTGTTTCACTTTTTTATGCATAGTATAGAGCGAAAGATAGAGGTAAATGGTTACTTTACAGCACATTATAAAAAAAACTTCCAAACGTCATTTTCCATTAATTATGCAGCAATATAGCTTCATCCCCTGCATACAGGCTTTATTTAAGAAATAAATAACAAGTTCATACATTTCAATGGAAATTGAAGTGGGTCTGTCACGTAATCAAATCCTGTGAAGGCCGAATGCGTTCTCAGAAGATCTGATCACGTACCGGTCTTCTTCAATTCCCATTCAAGTTTGTAAACTTGTTTTTTATTACTTATATATACATTTGAGACAGACGATTGGATATTTTTGAATGTTAATTATTGCACTAACCGACCGTCGTACATTTTGAAAAATGACGCAAGGTGTAAATCGACTTGAATGGCGGTTACGCTTCGAATTCATTAGGCAAGGGATTTTATTTCTAAGGGACTATTTTGTGAAATGCTACTTGTAATCAGTATTTGTGAACAGATTGTTGTCTGGGAATATTTCTATTCGTGAAAATTGATAATCAATGCTGAAAAGACACAAGATGATAAAAAGTTGGAGGAATTTTGATCGCCATAAAGGAATGGATAATCCGATGGATGGAAACACTTGACCGTGTGAGTTAATTTGCAATCAAGTATTTCGGATCAAAACTTCTACGATTTCAATAACTAAAGGCACATTTACGATGTAAACAAATCACGGGGACACTAGCGAAAGCTTAAATTGAATTACGACAGCGCCGAGGTGTTTGTCAGCTGTTCGTGGCGTGATTGCAATGCTTTGAATGCTTTGATATATAACAGATTTACACATTTATTGTGAGTAGAATTCGATGAAAAAATTATATTTTATCGTGAAGATATAAATAAAAGTCTATCCCAAAAATAAGGATAAACGTTAGAGGCTGTACAGCTGAAAAAAGTGACATAAAACAATATCTAGTTGCTATCGGTATATTCTCAATGTACACAGGTTAAAAAGACAGCTAAAAAACTGTATGAAATACGTGTTAACGTTGTTAATAAAATAATTATTATTATGCTTGCATATTTTGTTCATTTTTTATACATAAAAGCAAGAAGAGGAGGTCATTTTAATATTTATGCAATGGTAGATGTTATTGCGCCGCGTGATTAGGTCACGTATTGACCTCTGACCTCAAACAAACTTCATACAGAATTGAAGATAATATGTTCTCCGTATGTTTATATAATAGAGAGATACCACAAATGTAAATATTTCTTGTTGGACGATACTGAAGGGCATGTTTTACGAGAAAACACATTCTAAATCAAGGTAAGTTATTGTCAAACAACCTGAGGAAACAAGAATATCTACAGTCTCATTAATCATTTTGTTAGTCATATATTTAATACACTGATCATAACAGACAAAACAATCGATCATTAAAA